CCCCCAACAAAACAAAATGCCCTAAAAATATATGGTATACAGTAGGTGATCCGATATAGTGGCATCTTGAATAATAGAACTGCCGATAATGGTGACATCAAAATCTCTTGTCACAATCTCAACATGTACATGAACCCGATATATCGCATAGTGGCACTGCCCTGAATAGTGGCATATTCTCCTCTTGCCCCTACGTGCCACTGTATCGGGCTGATTACTGTACAATCCTCCACACCTCGAGTAGTTGGCGACCTTCCGTGATGTCCCAGACCGACATTCGAGACGAACCGGACCTCCCGGCCACCGCAAGGCGAACGCCCCCCCCAACCCCCGCCACGCTTCTCGCCCCACGGTCCCCCTTCCCGTTGTGAGCCACGCCGTCGCCGCAGGAGCCTCCTCCGTCACTGGCCACCCACAGGTCGGAGACCGAGGTTACGGGAGCGGTTGCGTAGGTGGTGACGATCGAAAGATTCACGGGCGGCGGCGGCGGCGGCGGCGGCTGGGGAAACCGCGACGGCGGCGGTGCGGAGCAGCTGTCGATACAGTGGCCAGCTGCCGCCGCCGTTGCTGTTGCTGCTGCTGCTGCTGCTGCTGCTGTGTTCCCGCTCTCCGCTGGTGACGTCACTGCTGGTGCCGATGCTGGTGCCGCTGGTGCTGCTGGCGCCGATGATGACGATGCCATCGACCTTTCATCATCACCACACGCCGCTCGTTGTCGATGCCGCCGCTGCCCCTGGATCTCCAGGAAAGCATCATCATCATCGTCCGTCCCCACCGCAGACACCGGCGGCGTGGAGGAAGCGGCTACCCCGCACCCCCCAGAGGCTGTGCCACGACGTCGTTCCGAGCTCGGCGAGACAGGGTCCGGAGAGGACGGCAACGGGTAGGAGTAGGAGATGACGTAGTGGTTCACCTGCCCGTCGTGCCCGGCCGAAAACAGGCACCCCCCCCACAGAGCCATCCGGCTGATCTGGTATTACACACCGCGATAGACAAGGGCGGACGGAGAACACGCACGTTTTCGGGAAATGCTCGCGGTGTAGAAAAACCATGAGTCGGTTTCGATGGGTTCTTGCTGCGCGCGTGCGCGCGCGCGTGTGTATGTACGTTGATGTGGTCAACGCGGCGTGTTTTCCGTGCCGAACTTATCGAGACCAGCTACATACAGTAGCACGATGGCGAGTGTACCTCGAGGCTATTGTACGCGGTAGACACCACTAGACTACGGATGCTGCGGGCAGCACCAGCTCGTTCAGAAACCGTTTCATTGAAGCCGGTGGCATTTCCGGGCGAGAATCAAAAATCGACACAACAGTAGGTGCGACCCGCCGGGCAAAAGAAACGAATAGTCGTCCAGAGCAGTTAGTCGTGTCTTGTCGAAGAGCCTGTCTCTCTCTCTTTCGTTCTCTCTCTCTCTCGAACACACACCTGGTCCTTGCCGTGCTGCCGCTTGAGCACCAAGCACGGCGCGACTCCCTGCCCCAAAGCTCTCGGCTCGACCCCCCGCTCGTACGCAGCCTCCCCACCGCCGCCATCGAGCCCGACACACGGCGACGGCTCGTCCTCCTCCTTGTCCTCCTCCAAAAAGCAGCGGATGTTGCCCTTGGTGTCCCCGCAAAAGACGACAGCTCTCGCCGCCGCGGCCACCTCCGCAGGAGGCGTTCTTCCGACCTTGCCTCGTGCGTCGTCATCGGGAGTGTTCGGCTCTAGCTCCGCTTTGCCGACGACACGCTCTTCGCGGTCTCGGCGACTGCTGTTCTTCTTCTTCTTCCGCAAGGACGACGGACGGCAACGGCGGCGGCGGCGGCAAAGCTGCTGCCGACGGTCGTCGATCGCGACGCTGGTGACGGCGGCGCCGGGCTCGGCCTGGCAAACCTGTCCCGCGGGAGGAAATTGGAGAGAGGAGGCGCACCTTTATCAGTAGCCCCGTCCTTCTACAAATATACGTAGATCTCATCCCATCGGAGTCGAGTTGCATTGGCGCCGGGAGAGGGGTTCCCGGAGAGCGAATACTGTACTGGTAGGTCTGGTGTGGAGGAAAGCTGTACTGAAATCTACCCCCCAGGGTCTCCAAAGGTCAGGTGACCTGTGAGAGATGCTGCCCCTTGAGACGAAATAACGTTTCTATAAATACATTCGTCAACAACGTCTTCGACAGAACCGACTTCGACAACAACACAAACAAGGGCAACACAACAACTGTGCGTGCAGGAGGCGGCGCCTAGCACAACACAATAGGGGTTCGGAAGAAAAAGGACGTTCTCGTCCCACTGATTATTTGTCAGGTTCAAGGACACGTTTTACCATGCGAAGCTTAGGCGGGCGTATCCCCATCCCTCCGCTCCGAGGCTCCGAACCACCGGCGGCGTGCTCCCTCTCGTCAACCCCGCTCCTCCCGGCCTCGTCGGCACGACCCCCCTCCCCCCCCCACTCCCACCACGCCACCGTCCCGTCGGCTCCGGCCGAAACAAGCGCCCCGCTAAAAATACCGCCGGCGCCAGACGAGGTGCGCAACCTGGACGTGTCCAAGGCAGCCGTGAAAAAAAACTGGCATCTTCCTCCCCCTCCCCCCCCTCCTCCTCCTCCTCCTCCTCCTAGAGGCGTGCTTGGGGATCTACTGCCGCCGCCGTCGTGGTCGGCGTCACCCACGGCCCAGATGGCGGTGACACGGGAGCGGTGGCCTCGCCAAGCCGCGCCCACGCGCCAGGGGCCGGTCGGGAACGGGCCGCCCCTACCGGCGTCGTACTCCCCATGATCGGTGGCACGGTAGGGAGCGTGGTTGGATCCTCCTCCTGACGAGGATGAAGCTTTAGTCGGCGGGGGCCGGGTAAGCAGAAACATCCAACCGTCGTCGCGACCGGCAACAACAACGGTCGTTTCATTTCCACCGCCGCCGCCGAAACCGGGATAGCCGTGGTCGTCGGAATTCGTCGCGTCTCCGCCGGCTTTGCGGCCGCCGTGCTCTCTTCCCGGGACACCGCCGCCACCGTCGCCCGCGGCGCTGCTGCCGGCAGTTGTTGTCGTTGTTGCCTCGGAGGGACTGCCACGCTGTCCCGGTAGCCGCCGCCCCCCCACCACGGCGATCGCCGACACGCCATCACACGAAAGGAAACCCTCGGCTGCCGGCAGCAGCTTCCCGCCCTCGGCCGCCGTTGTCACCTCCTGCCACGAGCCGTCGGCAAGGTCGGACACCCACCAGATGCTCCCATCCCCAAGAAGCAACGCCGCCGCCGCCGCCGACCCACCCCGCGCCAGCCTTACCTCTCGAACGACTACCGCCGGCTTCTGTCGGTCTCCCCGTCCCCGTCGTCGCCGCCTTGAGGAGGCCCGATCCTCCTCGACCCCCATCTGATTTTTCGATGCCGGCGGCCGCGCCGGCGGCCGGGGGGGCGGCGTGTTCGTGCTCGACTCGGTAGGCTTGTTGCTGCCCCGCTCCCCGGTCGCCGTAGCAACAGCCGCCGCCGCCGCCGCCGCCGCCGCCGCCGCCGCTGATCTGTGCTGGAGTTCGGTCTCGTCGGCGGGAAGGACGGGTGCACTCGCCGCCACTGCCGCCGCCGAAAGAAGACGTCCGTCCTCGTGCACTTTTACGGAGGCGGCGGCAGCTCCTTTCTCTTCCCCGCCGGCCGGGGGGATGAGCACGGCGGCGGCGGCATGGCGGTCGGCCGGCACCGTCGGCGTCTCACCCCAAAGCGCGCCGTGCCTGCTGTACGGTGCACGAAAAGAGGTACAATAAGGGTAAGGTATCGCAAGCTAGCTACTGGGACAGCGGTGTGTGTGAGCGAGAGAAAGAGGGAGAAGAGGGGAAAACCGAGAGACAAAGGAAGGCGGCGGCCGCTTTGGAGACAGGCGACCGCGCCCACGATACCGCCGGAGCGGTGCTGCTGTACCTTGCGGCGTAGCGTTTGGTCTTGGGCCCAGTAGCCAAAAGCTGTCCGGATGCTACAGTATATCCGGCAAAAGAGAGCAGTTGTTACACCGACGGGTGCTACATCCGGCAACAAAGGCAGTTGCCACACCCACGAACAGTCAACCATTTACCAACGTCATCACCAAAACGACTGGGTCAGGACGGACGTAAGTAGCACCTACCACCGCTTAGCGCGGCGCCTAATCCAGCTACTAAATAGTGCTCACGCCCCACCTTATTCCCCCTCTTTCGCAGGAAGCCTCGAACCCGAGGTCCCACAGCTTACACGAGGCGTCATTGCCTCCAGTCGCCAGAAGGGTCAGCGCCCTCCGCGATTCGTGTCCTGAGCCACGGCCGGCATTAGCGTCAGCGCTGCTGCCGCCACCGCAGCCGCTCATGGCTGCCGAGTGCGGTGGGAAGTCGTGCACTGCTAGTCTCCAGACGCTGGCGCCGCTGTGGCCGCGAAGGGTCGCTACCGGCACCAGCTGCCCTTGTCTGCGTTGACGGGGGGTGGCAAGGGCTGGTGTTGTTGCTGGTGCTGTTGCTGTCGCTGGTGTTGTTGCTGTTGCTGTTGCTGTCGCTGTTGCTGTCGCTGTTGCTGGTGCTGTTGCTTGTGTTGTTGTTGCTGTTGTTGTTGCTGGTGCTGGTGCTGTCGCTGGTGTTGTTGCTGGTGCTGGTGCTGGTGCTTGCTTTGTTGTTGTTGTTGTCGTTGTTGTTGTCGTCGTCGATGGTGGTCCAACATGTGGCGCTGTTGCGTTGCAGGGGGCGATGGCGGCGGAGTGGTCTCCTCCAAAGTCACGCTTTTCTCGCCAAAGGATGGCCGTACCGTCCTGCGTTGTGATTAAGCGCAAAAGTATTGAGGAGAAGTGACGAAATAAGGTAGTCGTACGCATACATGCGAGCATCATCGCAACAAAATTGGACAAAATATAAAAGTTTTCGGAGCAATTTCTTCCACAGGCATGCACCCAAACACATTGATGTTCACCCACAAGAGGCCGCCCAACCAATGGTCAAAGAGCCTTCGGAGTCTCCCGAGCGTGAACAGCAAGCTCCGATCAAACCAATAATACACTCAACCAACTAACTGCCATCAAACCAACATAGCACAAGCGTACGCGTTAAGGGAGGGTGGCTGAATACATCAAGCACAAGCGTCTTCGTGAGGATTATTTTCACCTCTCCGCACGAGACGACACCGAGGCTGGCGAACCCAACGTCCCACACCCTCGAGGCGTGTCCCCAGCCCGTCCAAACAAGCCTTCCCCCACCATCACGTCCCTCCTCCTCCCCCGCTGCTGCCTTGTCCTCCTCCTCCTCCTCCACCACCACCACCACCTCCACCTCCTCCTCCTCCTCCGCACCTACAACCACTATCTCCTTGCCTGAAACATTTCCGAAAATTTTTTTGGCAACTTCAACTGCAGCATAACTTACTGACACCGCATTTGAGCCAATGACTGTTTCGGCGTGAGTCCGTTTGCCTACTGTAACTGCCTGCTTGAACAGCTCATTAAAAAT